AAGTATGAAAGGAGTTAAAAAAGAAAAAAAAGAAACCCCCTTAGACAAACATCAACTGATTTGAAGTTTGCACACATCTGCACTAAGGAAAAAAATGCACATTGGCTGTGGACCCACTAATGAGTTTAGCAGAGCATTTCATCAGTCAGAGCTGCCGGGCGAGCTCCAGCCCCCCGAGCAGTGCAGGACAGCCCTGGTTCCCAGCACACCAGGGCTGGGCTCAGGTTTTCTGGTGCTGGGTGGGCTTGGTTTACATGTTTTGAGTGTGTGTGGAGAACTGTGGGTGTGCATGAAAGCTGAGCTTTGGGTCTACAGCTGGGTGAGACCTTTTGAGGGTGTAGAAGTGAATAATGCCCTGGGATGGAGCGTTGCTGAGGGATCTGCACATCTTGTACCATTCAGCCAACCAGTGCTGAGCCTGGAGGTTATTCTTGTGCTGCCCTGAATGGTCAGAGTTCCTTTGCAGCCACTCACAGGGAATGTAAATCCAACTCCTCCAGCCTGGCAGCACTTTGTGTTTGCTTTGCATTGGTACAACAAGAGCACACCCCACAATCTTGTCTCTTTTTTTTCCCCCCTCCCAGGCTTTGTCCTGTGTGCTGTAAGTAAGTCTGATCAGAGAGGTTGATGAACTCTGCCCTGCTGACAGAAGTGTCAGAAGTGCAAAGGTTGGGCTTTATTTATTTACTCGGGCCACGGTTGCTGTGCAAAGCCACCTCCTTGGCCAGGATCCTTGAGGGCTGAGCTCCCCTCTCCTCTGGGAAGCAGGTGGGGAAAGGAGGGGGTTTTATGGCTTTAGTCCCAAGGGGATAGGTATGGTGGTATCCCACAAATGTGAGATGGCCCCCTGGATGGACCTGACAAGGTGGAGAGATGTCTGTGCCTTCCTGGTGTGGTCAGTCCTGCAGCCTGTGCTGACAGAGCTGCCCCATCTCATGGGAAAGGGCACAAACAGCTCTTTTTCAAGTGGTTGGAAATCAGTGATGGGCTGGATTTGGTTCTCCATGTGCCTGGAGTGAGTGATGGCTCCTGGCATAGGGGAGGTGTGTGCTTTTCCCTTCATCCTGGACGAGATGCTCTGTTTGTACAGAGCTGAGTCTCTTTGGAGGAGGCCCCGTGGCCTCAGATTCTGGAGGAGTGCAGAGAACGGGGGATCTCAGCCCTGGCAGGGGTTTCTCTCTCTGCTTCTTTTCCATTATTCAATATTTTTGTTGGAAAGGTGAACCCGCCCGACCTCGCCGGCTCTTGCTGTACCACAGGCTTAGAGATGGAAGTGAAGAACAGGCTCCGGGCTGGAACTCAGGGACAGGCAGAGGATTTTAGGGCTGGAAGCACCTTGCCTGCCAGCTCCTGTTAGGCAGGAAGGTTGTGTGTCCCAGCAGCACTGAGACTGCCAAGGCTCCCTCTATTCCAGTGGGAAAACCACCTCGTGCAGAACGAACACATGAGGTGACCGATCCTGTGCCACGGATTTTAGGGCACAGTGTCAGGCTCCAGGTCCGAAATGACTCTGCTCCAAGGGAATTTTCAGACAGGGACCCCACATGGCGTCTTGCAGGGTCACAAAAGCCCTTCTTTACCGTCATTATTGTGTCATAACCCTGCCAAGGGGACTGATCCTTTGGAAGGGAGGAGGCTGTACCTAGGATGACGTCTGCAGGGGAAAATGCTGCTGGAGGGGTGTCAGGCACCACTTCCCGCTGCCTCCTGTTGACATTGGCAAACTGGCTGCCTCTCCCTGACTTCTGCAGGGAGATTTACTGCCAGGTGAGGCCTTGGGTTAACACAAACTTGTGGTTTCTGCAAGCCATTTGGCTGCGTGTTTCCTCATCTGACTTTACCTGCTGCGGCTGAACCACTGAAGTGTAGTTCTTGGCTCATGGCAGCAGTCAGGAGCTGTTTTTTGGGGGGAAGACACCAGTGTTTGGTCCTGTTTTGGATCATGTGCTGCATGACTCTGTAAACCCTGGTGAAGTCAGTGGGGCTCTGTGTTGTTCTCGTGGTCTGTGTACAAAAATGCAGGACATGAGTTGGCCTTTGGGCTTTCAGAAACAATGACATGGCCCTCCAGCTGTTTGGTGATGGAGGAGAGCTGCCTTTTATACATCAGAATAGCACAGTATTTGTGTGTTCATGGATGTGCAGTTGCACAGGATGCAGAGGAGGCAGAAGGTTCTCATGTGTTGCTTTGGGATTATTTCTGACACAGTTGCAAAATGCCCCCATAGCTTGTTCCTACCATGGGAGGTGATGCTTTCCCAGCCTGGGTGCTGCACAGTGGCTGTGGTGGGTCTTCTCCTGCCCTGGCCAAGCAGAGGTGCGGGGGTGGATGGAGAGTTTGGTGCGTGTCTGTGTTGGAAAACAGCCCCTTGCTTTGGGAGAGGGTCTGAGTTTACTGCTGGGCCTCATCAGTCCAAAGCTTATCCCTCCCGGGCACTTGTGGAGCAATCTGTCCCCTGCAGCAGGTGAGCAGTGCCCGTGCAAAGATCATCATAAGCTTTATCCAGGAGCTTTAATCCGTGCCCTAAGTCCTGCCAGCGGAGTAGCCTGGAAGATAAGGAGTGGTTGAATATTGGATGGGGAGCTGCTGGAAGGAGCAGCATGTGCAAGGCGTGGTTGGAAGCTCTGGATGGGGTGGGGTGTGTGGGGGGCTATGGCCGGGGTAAGGGATGGCAGGGCACAAGTGGTGAGTCCACAAGACAGAGGTGGAGGTGAGGTTGGAGGCCAGCAGGTGCAGAAATGCAGCACGGCTCGGGGTGGCTCGGCAGCCGCGAGTGCCCAGCATCGCCCTGCGCGGAGCTTCCTCCCGGAGAGGAGCCCGGAGGGGACAGGCACGTCCTGTCCAAAGCACATCCCTATGGGGCACGGCCAAGTGCCCGCAAATCCCCTGGGGCGAGAATACAGCGGGAATCCCTTCGTGCTCCTCCCCGGGAACCACCGGCGGGGAAGCCCCTTGGCTGCCTCGGGGAGGGGCTGCCGAGCCCCGCTGCCATCCCCGCTGCACAAACCCGGGGCAGCTCCCTCCGGTGCCCCAGCTCGGTGCAGCCCCTCGGGGTGAGCAGCCCCCGACCCCGCCGGGCTCGAGAAGGCTGCGGAGGAAGGAAGAGCCCCGTCCGGCTCCGGCTTCCTCCGCAAGCCCTGCCTCGGTGCACGGTGCCCGCCCCCGTTCCTCCCCCGGCTCTCCCCGCTCCGTGCACCCCTCGAGCCGCCTCCTGGGGGAGCCCCCGCCGAGCAACAGTTGCCCCCCAAGTCGCGGCCGCCGCCCCCGGCCCTGCCCGGGGGAGCCCCCTCGGCACCGGGAGGAGGAGGAGGAGGAGGAGGAGGAGGCGAGGGCGGCTCAGGGAGGGGAGGGGGGGGCTCGGGGGCTGCGCGGAGCCGCCGCCGCTTTGCAGCGCTGAGCGCCGCCGGTCTCTCCCAGCGCCCCGGGGCCGCCCGGAGCCGCGGGAGCAGCTCCTCGGATCCGGCTTCCCGGCTCCCCGCGGCGATGGAGCGGAGCGGCGGGGCCGCGGCTCGGCTCCTCTCCGCCGGGCGCAGCCTCCCTCTCCTCCGCCTGCGGGAGCGGAGCCGCCCCGCCGCCGGGCACCGGCCCCCTTGCTAAGGCTCCAGAACCCCCTGGACCCCTCGTGCATCCTCCGAGCCCTCCGTGCATCCCTCCCCGCTAAACCCTTTGTGCATCCCCGGACCCCCTGTTCATCCCCCAACCCCCTTTGTGGATCCCTCTGTGCGTCCCCCACCCCTTTGTGCGTCCCCCCTGTGTACTCCCAACCCGTTGTGCATCCCCTCCATCCTCCTGTGAGCCCCTCAGCCGCCTTGTGGCCCCCCCCTCCGTGCCAGCCAGCCCCGTCACCCCCCCTTGCATGCGGCCCCAGGGCTGCAGGAGCCGGGGTTGCACACCATGGGCACGAAGCAGACCAAGGGCTGCCAGCCGGGCAGCGCCGGGGAGAGCTCCCCGGCCCACCACCGCAAGAAGGTGCCCCCCAGGGAAAGAGGGGACTTCCTCGCCTCCCTCGTGGTGAAGTCCGGTGAGAAGTTTGGGAAGGGCGGTGGCAGCAGCTTGCCCCCTTACCACCGGCGGATCTGCATGATCCAGGACATGCTGGTGCTGGTGAAGCAGGGCAAGCAAGAGGAGGCCACCGAGCTGCTGAAGAACCTGCGGCAGGTGAGGATGGGCAGGTTTCTCCGGGCGGGGGCTGCCTGCTTGCGGTGGGGAAAAGACAGTCATGGGGAGCAAACCCCGTGCTGATTTCGAAAGCCTGTTAGCAAAGAGGGGGCACGCTCTGTTTTTGTGGGTCTGACTTTCGTGGCGTAATTTTGGGGAAGTGACTGAGGAGCTGCAGGGTGGTCATGGTGCTGGAGATGGGAAAATACCCCCGGGGAGGTGCTTTGCATTGTCTGCAGCGAGGAACCCTGCCGGGTGCATTTTTTCCTCCTTCCCTTCATTGCTGGCGCTGATAGCTCTGGGGTTTGCAGCGTGCACAGCCCACTCGAGGTGGTTCCCACTCAACTTTCCAGAAGTTTGGTGTTTAAAGCAGCCCTGTAAGAGCGCTGAGGCAATTTGAGCTGGCAGCTTTTGAGGATCAGCTCTTTTTTCCTCCTGGCTCAGAAATACCGAGAGTTGGCAGCTTCGCTTTTTATCTCGTTCTTTTTGACGCACAATCGCGTGGTGGAGTTTTGCTGGTGTTGGCTTGGAGAAACGAGATGCTGTGCGGGAGTGGGGAATTAATTGTACAGAGCCCGAGACCTTTTGCCTTGAAAGTCTGTTTGAGCTGGGCATTAGCTGAGAAGCAACAGGACGGAAAGTTGCTGTGAGCAAACAGAAAGGCAGCTGAGGAGCACTGCTCTGTACCCAGCAAATTAGCATTTAATCTTCTCTACTGATAGATGGTGATAAAAACACCGAAGCGCTGGGCATTTTCAAGGCTCTGGGGTACACAGGGCTTTGGAAAGCAGCAAGTTTTCCATGCAAACCAGAACTAGACCCGTCTTGGAGCTCAGGTTTTCTCTCAGGGAGCCTGCACAGCACTCAGCTGTTCGGTGTAACCAGTTCTGCCACCTGGGAAAAAAGTTGTTCAGAACTTCGCTGGGCGCTGGGAGCAGCTTCCTTGCCCTTTAGTTAGTCTGTGCACAGGAAAACTGGTCCGGAGTCTGATGGTTTTCTTTTTGGATTTTGTGTTTTGGTTTTAGCATCTCTGCCCCCCCCCCCCCCCC